TGTTCTGGGAGATATGCTGGCAGAGATTTGGGGATTTCTGCTGGCGGAGATCTGTAGTGGCAGAGGCCACCTGTTTGCCTCTAACAGCCCTTCTTATGCCAGAAGTGGCGGTTGTTTCCACGGAGGGTTCCAGGTTAGCCGCCTAGTCGTTGCACGTCATATTCGAATTGCCCTTCTCGCCATTTTCACTTTTGCAAAGCTTGTTTTGGAGAGGATCTAAACTTGATTAGAATTCACACCCTCAATGAAACACCGAATGATGGTTTCACCACCTGGGAGTAGGAAAAATCGAGTGAGAGTCGTAAAATATGCTACATGTAAACCAAGTAAGAAATTTGGCAGCGTAAGTCATAACAATAAGCTTGGGAATAACAATCATGATCTCCTTCCACTGGTTAAAAGATGATATTTATAGTGTAATAGGAAATACTTGAACAACAAGTAAAATAAATATCCTAATGAAATATTGACACGTGTAAAGCTAATTGGTGAGAGAATGACCAACAACGGGCTGATTGGTACGGTTGCACCAGAATCTGTCCTTTATGTACTGGTATGTTTAGATAAGTTACACTTCTAAGTCTAGAATCTTCTGTGTAACCGCCTGGGTGACGTCAGTCCTAGAAGTTGCAAATTGCAATGTAGATGTTGTAGTCATATATGTGCGTGGAATTTAAGTGCTGAAATAAGTCTACAATCTTCGTCTGAGGTCCCATGATCGGTCGCAGATGTCTGGCTCGAATATAGTGTGATCGGTTGAGAGGAGGGTAACATCGGCTCATGATGCGAAGCAGTGACGCTCTTGTTGATCTTTTAACCTCGTAAGTACGACAGTTTGCTTGGGGCGCAATCATAGTGGTAGATTAAACCGCCAGCCTCAGCCTCAGATTAACCGAGAAATGATCTTGAAGTATTTGCTAATTTTGGAATCAATGTTGGGGCCGGAAATTATTTAACATTTGGGCCAATGTATTTTTAAGCAACAAGAGTCCATCAGCAACAAGAGAGAGCCCAATGATGCGGTCAAGATAAGATCAATTTTGAAAGGAAAGAGCATTTGAAAGGAGAGAGTATCAATTTTGAAAGGAGAGAGTATCAATTTTGAAAGGAATGAACATTTGAAAGGAAAGAGTAGTCCAAAATTTGGGGAGGAAGAAAATTATCTATTAAATATACTATATATGGATCAATGTAATGGACCATGAAGAGACGACAAAACACCATCATTCCTCCATTCAAGCTATTCAAAATTTCTTTCATATTCAATTGTGATTATTCTAAATAAAATTATTGTCGATTCATGTTTGCCCGATTCCCGTTTAATTCATATTTAGACTAGTTTATTTTTAGCATAAACAATCAATATTTGCCTTTCTATATATTCTAGTAATAATATAATTTTAAATAAATATACATTATGATATGAAATGATTACATATTTATCATTAAAATAAAGATTGTTTACAAAAATGTGACTAATGACTAGAGTAGTAATGAAATCATGATAACTTAAGTTCAATTATTAAACTTAAGTAACTATGACCCTACATTGTAGTAAATATTAGTAATATTTGTGTAATTAAATTTTATTTTAGTAATATTGGAGGCTATAGACATTTGTCTAGGTGGTTATGTTACATTTGTAATATGATCACAAAAATATAACATTACAATCAAAACTCTAATATAATCAAGACTACAAATTTTATTACCATCCAACAATTATTGTATACGGATCGGAGTATATATATTTGCAACACACTATAATATTTTAACAATTTTTTTTCCAAACTTCTTATATACAGTAATACTAGCGTTTGATCGCGCAAGGCGCGACAACTTTTGTCCAATATTAAAATAGTGTTCATTTTGTAAGCAATTACTATCATTGAGACTTGAGAAAGTGATGTGTTTATTAAGAAAAAGAGTTTATATGGTTGATATTAAATTGGCCAAGTAAAAGTGATTTAGACTCGCACAACTTTACCAAATTTGATATGAGACAATTTTAGTGAGATTGACCGAAAAGAAAAATAAGTCAATCCTAACGGGGCAAATGGAATATTATACTATGTATATGATATTGTTATGAGATTTTCTTAGATAGTGTAAATAAGTTTTCAATATTTTTTGAAAATTGTCAGATCATATATATTTTCATATAGTCAATTATTGTTCAGATATGTGCTTAGACTTTAGGAATTTTATCAATTCAAGACCCAAAAAATAGATTAATTATCAATTCAGGATCCGAAAGATGAAATGTATCGATATAGGACCCGAATAATGGAAAACTATCAATTTAGGACCTAACATTCCATAGGTTTTGATTTTTTTAATTCCATTACTAGTTTTTGATAAACTTTTCTTCACAAAAGTTTATTAGTTTAATAAAACTAAATAATATTTTTTAAAATAAAAATAAAATAAAATTTATGACAACTTATGTCCTAAATTGATAGTTTTTCATTATTCAGGTCCTATATCGATGCACTTGACCTTTCAGATTTCATATGGATAATTCGTCTATCATTTTTGGTTTTATATATGAAATCATCAATGACACATAGACGTTTCTAGAACACTTTTGTACCATTGTAATTTATAAAAACATCTAACGTAAAAATTGATGAAATGTAATAATTTTAATCGTACCTCATATTAAGGATAACATTTCGGTTTATTAAACTTTTTTTAACATCAACAACGGTTTACATTAAACTTTTTCTACATAACCTCAAACTTAAAAAAGTTAAAATTCTTTTTGAGATATAAGTGTTAACCATTCGAAGAAATTCATTACGGAAATTAGAATTCACCTAACATGCTAACTAATTAGCAACGAGTTAGGAGGTCGGTTATAATTCTTTTAAATACTCCTATTAACTTAACGGAAGGTAAACATCATAGTTAGTATAGTAAGGGTAAAGAAGTCACATGAAAAATTAGGTTCCATTTTTTTAAGAATAATGTACTACTTGTGATGCTCAAAGTGTATTGACATAAATTAAGGGTACCAACCCTCATTCATGAATATAATGTAGTTAGATAGTTAGATAAAACGAGCCTGAAGATTATCTGAAAAATAATATCTTTGACTTTCAAACTTATGAGATATTTATTTATCTTAATTCATAATAATCAATTTATTTGCTTTACTATCCAAATTTTTGGTTTTGATTTGTTTCATTAAATTTGTCGAATATAATTCTCGATAATTTCTGAGTGGTCATATATACTTTTTCATTTATCTTTGTAGTAAATGTTATTTTATTCAATTATATCATATAACTATGATTGACACAATTTAGGATATTTTTAATTGGATTTGTTTCCGTCCCAAACTGGACTAGACTTAATTATGTCAAATCAGAATTCAATAGTTGCATAATACACACAGAACAGACATCTATCAAACCCTACACGTTCAGATCAGATTAGGCAATATCATACTTAAATAGAACATAATAGATCATACTAGAAAATTTCAGTCCAATAAAAAACGTAGTTTTTTTTCAAAAGTATTACTAAAATAAAACCTATTTACATAAATTAAATATGACTAATAGCTACTACAATGTAGTATCATGATAACTTAAGTTAAAAATTGAACATAAGTTACTATGATTCTATTGTTACTATAGTCACTAGCCACATTTTTAAACATTTTTATTTCAGTCATAGATATGTAATCATATCTAAAAACATCCTTATTAGTATTAAGATTATAAATTAATGTCTAGTAATAAATGAATTTCTGTCAAATTAATATGTGTACATCAAGTTTCAAACTGCGTGTTGTTATAAATTAATGTCTACCGTATATACACACTTTTTTTTGGAAGAAATAGGCTTGAATTGATAACACATCATTCAGATAGTAGGTAATCCCACAAAAAGATTTCTGACAACCGCCGTCCCTCGAACCAGACTCAGAGTTAATCACCTCAGAAGAAGCAATATAACTCGTTGATATATTAATGGGCACAATTAAGCCAAAGACGGTTACACCAACCCTTCTATCACCCACATCCAAATCCACACACTACACCATAAATGGCCTATAGCAACACACATTTAAAGTGTTGCTTCAAAAATGTGGATATACATTAAGAGAAATTGGGCTAAGGCATCATTAATTAAGAAATGTTGCCATAGGTATGTTGATAAGTGTTAAACTTACTTTACTGCAACATTTCTTTAATAAGTGTTGCGATTGATACATAAATATACTCTAATGCAACATTTTTTAATAAATGTTAACAATGTACTTTCTTGAACTAAAATTGCACTATATTGTATGTTTGGCAAGATTAAAATATAAGTCAATTGCATCCTAATTAAGGATACTTTAAAACGGATTATTTTGAGTAGTAAAACGGCTTAGACTTCGACAGTAGTAAAACACACATAGAACATACATCGATCTACAAGACCAAACCAATTCAAATCAGACTAAACTACACCTGAAAATTACAGTCTAATTAAAAATATTCTAAAAGTGATACAAAACAAAGTTAATCACTTTAATGAGAAAATTAATATAAATAAGAACAAAAAAACGTTTGACAATTTTAAAAGATGAATGTTGTGTTTTTATTCGCCAATTAGGAGTGATGATGTTTTCTTTTGGATTGTTTTCAGTTCCAGACCAGACTTTCGTATTTATAAAATACACAGAGATCAGATGTTTACCAGACCAGTTCAGATCAGACCATATCAGACCAGATCAGACCAGACTAGACCATCAAATTTCAGTACAAAAGAAAACATTCTGATTACTACTACACTCGGAAATTAGTATCACTTACTGTTATGTTCAAAGTTTTATAATGTTAAAACATGAAGGTAAATCTCACTTTACTTTAACTCGTTCTCTTAATTCATCTTTTTCATTTTTATTAGCATTTGGAGTTGGATTGATAAAAATATTTACGGGAAAGTAATAAAACCTTTAATGATTAATCCCCCACTCACCCTTTCCCTTTAAACATCTTAAGAAATTTAGGAGCAGTACGATACGGCCAACACTTCGCGTCCTCTTCTCTTCTTTGTTGTTTATCGCCGCAACTCTGCTTCAAGAAACGGGACTGCTCTCCCATTTTACTGCTACTATCTGGTATTTCATTCTTAATATGGAAGTCTGCAACATCGTATTCGCACTCCATCCCAAAAAGAACACCGTTCTTCACATGACTACATACTCCGTTGCACACGGCAAGGTTAGGGTTATGTAAACTTTTTGGAATTTGGTTTGGTGTTATTTCTTACATCTTATATTTCAATTGAAAAAGGTAATTTCAGATATCAATTGGTGTGCCCGTCCTTAGAGGCATACAAATATTGTATTTTGATTGTCTAAGAGTCAAAGTCGGATTTGAGTGTCGATTTTGCAAAGACAGGCTTCAAGTGTGCTTTAACTTTAGAGTAAGTTGCCAAATTGGTCTACTCTTTACCTTATAACTTGTTCGAGTGTGCTTTAACTTAGACTAATGTTTTTTTCAATATAAAATATAATTGTATGGGGTCCATCACTTTCCTTATATTTTGAAGCTAATATTGATCAATTCAAGTATTTATTGGGCTTTGGTGAAGTTTTGAAAATATATTACAATTTTCCCCTGTTTCTTCAATTCCTCTTTGCCAGCATGATTTGCTCAATACTTTCTGAATTAGGATTTAATTATTTATTATCAATACTCAGATTGACTACATAAGTTAGGCTTGGAATGTTACAACATGTACTTTTATTTTCATAAATTTGCTCAGAGTGGCAAACAAAGTGTTTTCTTTGAAGGAAGATTGTTTTTCCAAAGAAATTGGGGGTGTATAGGTTCCCAATTCCAATACTGTAGGATGAAAGTTGCTCACAAATGACAATGATGTTAGAGATTATGTTCTTGTGCATCAAAATTATGATGTTAATGATTTTTGTATCTATAATGTAGTTGATGAAACAATCCCTCTAATGTGATCAGGACCAGCCCATCTGATTGTAAGACCAAGAAAGTATATTTTAACAAGTATCTCTATCAAATTCTTTGATTTTGCTGGTATCCATATGCCATTATTATAATTATAATTTACATTTAATGTTTCATTGTCGAAACTCCATCCTTTGGACAATGAATGACGAAAATGTAAGTTTATTTAATTAGATAATTACTAAAACTACTTGATATACTTTGGTTAATCTTTTCTGTATATGTAATCCACTAAATGATCTTTAGGATTTCCCTTTTGCAGGACAAAAGAAAGCATTCCAAATTACAAGAAGGGAATATAAAAGAAGGCTAACAGAAAACTAAGGCAGGAACAGTAAACTAGTAGTAATAATAATAATAATCAATTCTTATTTATTATTCAGCTAATTAACACAGTTTCATGTAAGCATGTAACCTTTAACCTATTGATTCCAGTGAAGCAACATGCTTTAATGTTTTATTTGAATTAACTTAATTTGTGTTACTTTAAAAAAAAATGTAATGCAGGAAGTAGAATATGGTGGAAAGCAAAAGGAAGTAAGTGACGTGAAAACACGGTTTCTATGCAATGTCCATCAACTGATTGTTGAAAGTGTGTGTAGTACCAACTTCTACGGTCTAAATTGGTACAGTTTGCTACCTGCACTTAATTAAATTTATTTATTAATATTTGTATGATTTAATTTGTTTACATCAACTAACATTGTTGTGTGTATGCATTGTTGTGCGTTATGCCATTTAGTTTATATTGTTTTTCTTTTCTCTTTATTCTTTCTACTTTGGTATTATTTTCTTGAGTTTGAATAACCCAAAAATTCATCGGTTAATGGCGAGTAGGATAAAACTGAATTGTATATTCTATTTGTTGGCATAAAATTGCTACTTGTTTAGAACATGGATATTCAATTATATGGTGATATTTATTATTTTATCCAATGTTTGAAATATGTGGCAGTATTCTGTTGTTGTTTATTGTTGCTTTATTTTGCTAAAGACTGTTGATGAACTAGTGAAAAGGTGCTCTCAAATAGTGTTGATAATGTGTGCTGTTTTTAATTTCAGGTGTTGATGGTGTGTGCACTTTGTTCTAATTTATGGAGGCTGACTACGATTTTGGCTGCAAGAACATTGTAGTATTTTTTGGCTTTTAAAATCATGAGCCTTTTGAGCCTTTGTTTGGATTGTAGTTGTTACGATACATATGTATGAATGGATGATCGACTTTTATGGATTTAATTTTGTTTCTAGAACTGGTTATTAGACAGATCAAAATATTGTAGCATTCCAACATGTGATCAATGTTTGTAATCAATCAACAATAGCACTGGTGCAATAGTTGTAAATAAATATTCCAACTAAGAACACCTGAAAATGACTCACGAGACACACAAGTAGTGCCTATTTGAATTTAAAACTACGGTTTTCAATAAAATAATGGTTTTTAAATAATAATAATAATAATAGAATAATGAATCTAGTGCAAAACGTTGCTCCAAGTGTTGCATTTGCAGTTCCATGTGTTGCTTTTGTTTTTCTAGAGAATGTTGTTGCCCTAGCCAAAATAGTTGCAACACATTTTAGTTTGTTGCCATAGACACCTATGGCAACGGCCAAAATTTCAACACTTTCAAAATTGGAAAAGTGTTGCCATAGACTCGTAAGGCAACACATTAGGGTGTAGTGCAACATTTTTTAGGTGTTGCCTTAAGTCATTTATAGTGTAGTGACAGTCTTACAACAGGGAAAAACAAAAACAAAACACAGCACAAAACAAATAAAAGTGTCATGACAGAAAAAAAAAACTAATAACGTAAAACTCCTATCCCAACCTTCCGAACAGCACGAATATCCATAACCTTTGCCCTTGTTCTAACTCAAGCACCTTCGGCGGGCTTACTAGTCAATGTTCGCCTGACGAGCACTATTGTCGTAGTGCGTCAAAATAAATCGATACTAGCACTTATACGTAGTATAGGTGAAGCAAAGTATGTATCCACATGGAAATGAATAATTCTCTTTTTATAAAACTAGTAAATAAAAGGGGGGTTTTAGGATCGAATGATTTAATTTAATTAAACACCAAGATGAACAACTTATACGTGATTTAATTCAATAATAAAAAGGACTTGGCCTTGCTACTTTCCACTTGTTGATATATTTTAGTCGATCATTGTTATATCTATAACTTATCCCTTCTCGAATACTCAATCGAGGATTATCTCCAATTCATTGAGGGCAGTTATTAACAACGACCGTTCATTAATAACTCTTACTATTTGTCAAGTATAGAACACTGCCAAATACCGACTTGATAGTAGCATTAATCTCTTAACTCCTTGATGAAATCAATTGAGATTGATAACCTCAACACAATGGTTTCGGTTTAACCAACACAATTAATCCCTCTTAAGTTTATTAACCACGACCGTGCATTAATAAAGTGGATTTACTTACTCGTGAAACCATCAACGATTAACCATCAGTTCATTGATCATTTCTAGTAGTAATTAATGTCGAGATGTTAACTAATTGTCATCTTAGAAACACTCCCCAACATTAATATAGAGATAGATTAGGGGAAGAATTAATACTCAAGGGAAGAAGTTAGGAAAATAACTCACAACTTTAATAATCAACAAGCTTCAAGAGAAACACCAATAAATGGAAGTTTAGCTCCTCATTTGGAGACTAAACATGCTATAAAAATATAAAAGAAATACGGAGTACTATTTTAAACTGAGCTTAAGAGTACGGGGAGTGATTATTAGTGAAGGAAAAGTGTGCTATTTATATGTATTTTTCAAAACCTTTGGTCGGGTACTCGACCGGGTATAGTGCCCACCTGACCGAGTACCGGTCAAAATCAAATATTTCTCCACGTTCTTGTGTTTCAGCACGTCGTTTTGTCCCGAGTCACATCTGACCCGACCGGGTGAGGTAGAGGACCCGTCTGGGTCTGGCAAATTCCTGAGCATCTTCGGTTTTCACTTCTTACCCGACCGGGTGCAAGGTCCTACCCGGTCGGGTTTTAGCTCCTGGGCAGTCAAATATCATTTTTCTTCACTTCAAAGCGCTCCTTTCCAACACCATAATTCCTAACTCTACTTTACAACTTACAAATGAAGATTAAAATACAATTACAACTAAATCACACAAATGTTTACAAACTAAATAAAACGGTAAACAATTCACACAAATCAAACATAAAAACATACATTTATGCACTACGAATTAGTGCATATCAAACACCCCCACACTTGAACTTTTACTCGTCTCGAGTAAACCAAATCTAGTCCAAGAAGTCCTCAAAGTGACATGAGTATCAACACAAACATCAAAGTGTGTTTTTCGAACAACAGAAAATATCTCCAAAAGTAAAGAGGGGTCTTCAACTCCATATTTCCTATCAAATTCTCTTTTTCATTGTTACCCTTAGGATCCTGCAAAGATATTCTTTCTCTCGTTCTCTCATTTTGCCTAGGTGCCCCTTCGGTCTTTCATCCCAGCTTCCCATATTTTTTTTGTTTTAATCCTCACACCTCACTCTTATTTTTGCTTTAATTTTGCTTAAGTTGCCTTTTCAGGCTTTCAACGTAACAAGCATTTTTTTTGTTTTTTTTTTTGCTTTTGTTTTTTTGAACAAGAATAAAGAGCATGAATGTGAGTATTCTATGAAACTCTTTCCCCCAAGCTAACCAAAGCACTGTCTCTAGTGCTTATCTATGATATGTCCAAGAAGATGTATCCTTTGCCTTTTTTTATGCCCATTTTTTGACATTTTTGTTGGGGGGGGGGGGGGGGGGGGGGGGCTAAAATCCAGAGCTTTGTGCTTGAAAGGTATGGGTTTTGGAATTTTTGGGTGGATTTGGTCAAGGTTTGTTGGTGTAGAGTTGAAAAGGAGATGGATGAGAAGAAGATTATGGGGCTAATTTGTTTTTTTTTTTGGATGGATGTGGGAGATATGGAAGTTTGATTCTTTAATAATGGAGGTTTTTTGGAGGGGGTTCAAAATTTGGGGGAGAAATTGGGTGAAAAAGAAGAATCGTGACCTTGTTTTGGTCATTTTCCCGTTCACCCCGGCCGGGTGAATTGTTATACTCGGTCGGGCGTTAAGTTTTCGAGGTGGCAGAATGTTTTTGGGTTGAATACCAGGCCGGGTGGGTTGAGTTACCCGGTCGGGTGGATCAAGTTTTTTTTTTTAACTTTCTTTGCCTTCCTCGCCCAGGTGATGGAACGGGTGTGTTGATTTTAAATTATACCCGACCGGGTTATATGTGATACCCGACCGGGTATATGCCCCAAACCTCTAAAAATCTTTTTTTAAAGTGCAAAAATAAAACAAGTAAACGTACCTTGCATGAGTTGCCTCCCAAGAAGCACCTCGTTTAACGTCGTGGCACGACGCCATCATTGTGTTCAATCATTCAAGCTTGGATCATGATAATTAATCTTCTTCAAATTTTCATTCCTAGGACTTCCATAGAAATGCTCAATTTTCCGGCCCTTCACTTTGAAAATCTTTCCAGGATCAAATATCCAAATTTCCATTGATTCATGTGGTGAAAGTGAGGGAAAGAAATTATCGTTTAACATGGTCAACAAAAATGTTTTGATCCCTCAATTTTGCTGAAGATTTCAAAAATGTCATTATCCTTTTCAATTTTATGAGTTTCCCTCAAAGTTTTTGGAACTGCTGGGGGTATCTCAAAGAATGATAAGGATAGATATTTGACCTTCAAACTTGGTTCATCCTCTTCTTTGACCAGCTGGAGCTCCGTGTCTCTTTCGTCTTCTACTTCTTCTGGATTTTGGATCTCCTTTTGCATTTCTTTCTTATTTGTCAATGTGATTGCAAAGTTTGCTGTTTAGGATCACATTCTACTTGAGAGGGAAGTTTTCCCGAATCCCTTGCTTCAAGCCTACTCACGGCTCCGGCTATTTGACTCACTTGAGTTTTCAAGTTTAAAATGCTAGACTTGGTCTCATTTTGGAATTGCACCATGTTGTTTTGCATGGTGGTCATGTTGGTAGCAATAGCCCGAACCATGTCCTCCATAGACATGTTAGAGTTGGAGAGCGAATCATATCTCATGTGAGGTACTTTCCTTTGGTAACCAACATCATCAATTTGTTCAAGGTATTTATCTTGGAGTTTTGGGCAAAAATCCGTAAGATGCCTATGAGTAGGGGTGGGCAAACGGGTACAGGAACCGTGGGTTGGACCGGGTAATACAGGTTCAGGGCGTGTTAGAGTCGGGTCCTAATTTTAGAAAACTCAAACGGTTCGGGGCGGGGCGGGTCCTTAAAAATTTAGGAACCGAACGGCTCTTAAAATTTGAAAATACGGGTGCCCGGATCGAACTGTTTAAAAAATTATTTCAATACTTTATTATATTTAATACAATATACTAATAACATCCGGAAAGATCTTCATGTTCTTATGTCTAAACAAAAACACCCAACTAAAGAAACTTGTCGATCAATTAAAAAGAGTTTCCTAAGTTCATATAACCTCCTAAATATTTTCCCCAATTCTTTATTTCAAATGCATTAATTTTTTTTCTTCAATATTTTTTTTGTAAATAAAGACTCTTACTCAATGAAGTGTGCTTATTCATTTAATAATCTTAATTTAGCTTATACTTTGAAATTTAATAAGTTTTAAATTGTTTTCATAGACAAATATGTAGAGTAACTAGTTAATTTCTTATGACTTTATAGTGCTATTTTTTAGTTTATGAATAATGATTAACATTTTTTAATTTAGGTGGTTGTGTTCTGTTTAATTTATAGATTTGTGGTTAAGTATTTTATTAACTAATTTAAAATGTTGTTTTTATTTTTTCATTTTGAAGTTTTACTATATTATGGTTACATTAATACTTAATTAGTTTGGGAATTTTATACCTAACTACAAACTTTGCTAGCGTAGCCGTATTGTTTTTTACCAAAAAAAAACACAAGAAGAACCGAGGACTCGGGTCGAACCAACCCATTTCAAACGGGGCGGGTAAGGTCCGGTTCCTATTTTGAAACTTGGTATACCCGGACCGAACCTACCCGTTAAATGGAACCGGCGGTTCTTAGAAATTTGTCAATTACCCGGACCGACCCGAACCGTGCCCACCCCTACCTGTGAGACATGCAAATGTTGCATGTTTTGACATCTTGAGCTTTTGAGTTTAAGATAAACTCATTTATTAGAGAAGCCAAGATGGAAATTTGACCCTCTAAGAATGATGTGTTGGTATCCATATACTCATGTAAGCTCAGAATATATAAGAGTAAGAAATTTCTATACTATTTTTTTTCTTAAAATAAAATAA